ATGCTTTAAGTCCATTAAAAAATTTGGCGAGTATATTAGATTAATCGGGTGGTAAAAGCTTAGATCACTTATTGGTTATTAAAAAAAAAAGCAATTCGGTAAAATATCACTAAACAAAAAATCTTTCTCTAACATAAAGGAAAAAAAAAACTAAGAAATTCGAACACTTTTATGGACAAAAAGATCAACTATACCTTTTAATAGTAGATATACAACAGTTTTGTATATTAATATACGTTCACGATAAATGAATATAAATACAATAGAGTAAATTTGGAAAAGTACCCTCTTTGTAACTTTTTGTTTGAAAAATACACTTCTTCATTTTTTTCTCTTTTAGAAACTATTTTTAATATATAAAATTACTAAAATAGCCTCACGAAAATTTACTAATAAATAAAAAGAATTTAGAGAATTTATCATTAAAACAGAAAATCCATCAATTTAATTTTTAAATTAAAATTTGATGTAACTAACAATTAAAGATAATTCTTATCTTAAATATTTTTCTTAAATAATTTACGATTCTTGGAGCATTGGAGATTGATTTTTATATATAATGTGACAAATATTAAGTGATAGACTTTAAAATATTTATAGATATTATCTTGTTAAATTTTAATATATAATAATAAACTGTCTTTCTCTGAAAATAGTTAAAAATATTAAATATTTCGAATTTAGTTTATTATTTTTTTCTTCTAAATTTCGAATTTAGTTTTAATTTATTAAAAATACAGAATTTTAAATGTGGATAAAATTGTCATTTTACATATTAAAATTGTAGTTTCTATTTTTTTTGGTGCAACAAAATTGTAGTTTTTATTGAAAATAGAGAAAGGTGTGTTTTTCAAACAAAAACTAATAAATAGGGTAATTTTCAAAATCTACCTAATATCCACAAACTCCTCATTTTCTTGTTATTTCTAGAATAAAAAGGTTAAATATCATTAGCAAACAATTTTTTTTTTAAATGCTAATTTTCGAAAAAAATAGCCCACCAAAAATATTGGAAATGAGGTTAAAGAAAACAAGGTATCGATTAGTTATTAAAGGGACAAAAAGAAAGTAGTAAAACTGATACAGTGATAGTAATAGATTGTGGAGTGTACTATAATCGGTCGAATCAATTGGACTAATCTCATAATATTTTGTGGACGAGTGTTAGTTGTGCTCCATTAACCATTTGTCTTCCCACTAACACTTTTTTTTTTTCTCCTCTCCTTTTCACATCTTTAAAGTCTTTTTCCTTACCAAAAAAGTCATTTTCCTTAATATTTTTCCTGTTGTATTCCTCTGTTCTGTCAATTTTCTGCCATATGATTTATTTAATTTAATGAAACAAATCAATTTCTCTGTAAAAATTTAATACTAGTTAATATATTGGGCATATACGTGTTTTCTCTTCTAGGAATCCCAATAAACACAAGTTCATGCCACTGCTATAAAGTTTTTTACTAAATAAAAAATATAGAAAATGAAAAATATGTTCATTCTAGATGATATGTTATTTAAAAAAAATTAAATAGAAGAATTTTGAGAACATATATTTTTCACACTTAAGTACTTAAACACAAAAGAAAACATAACATGTCACAAAATTATATGACATTATTTTGTTAAAAAATAGAATACTGTATGTATAAAGTGCCTTACATACTAAATACTTGCATATGTTTCATAACAAAAGAGACTGAAAGACAGGCAACGCAAACATTAACAGGCCCAACTAGGTGAATGGGTTCAGTGTTGGAATAGTGGCTTTAGCGTCACGTTAATAGTCTTTGGCCTGCTTGGCTTTTACCGACCTCAAGAATTTTTCATACGATTAATAAGAACGGGTTTAAACATAGAGATGATGACTTGGGCCTCAATGTTTGTTTGCGTGTGTTTATGTTTTTTTTTTTTAGTAAATGAATCTGTAATCTCAAGTACTAGAAGTCTAGAACCATTCCTTCTTCTTTTTTTGTTGCCAACTCTAAACGCAAATGCCAAACACAAACGAAAAATAAACTTTTTCGTCTACGACTTTTCATGATGTCTCTGTGTGAAACTGTCTTTACATGTAATAGATGCATGCAAACGCAAAAAATGATGATTGTATGCCGTTGTTGTAAACCTTTTTCATCCGCATTGAACAACCAATCATCAAGATTAATATCTTAATTTTACTAGTGAATTATTCACTAAGCTATTTTGTTCGGTATTTAAGAAATTTCAAAACGTGTAATACTAATTTTGGCCCAAGCATCTGTGGTCTAGTGGCAGAGGAAGCTTTGGGAAAGGGTGAAACTTCCAAACCTGAGTTCGATTCTCCCTGGAAACAAAAACACATTTGTTTGGGAAGTCTGTCAGTTGGGCCTTGGCCTAATTGGTTTACCTGATAGCCAGAAATGCAGGCGGCCTGACTACCCCTTGGCACTTAGTCGGAATGCATTCCAAACTCGGAATAGGCAGAATGGTAGCCCGTAATGGTTTAACCGTTAACACGGTGGACCAGTCCACTATGTAGTACCTCGGTGCGTTCCTACCGGGGCCGACCGGATAGCCGATATGGTTTATCAAAAAAAATATATATATATATACTAATTTTGATGCATTCTTAAACATAAAACATCGTAACGCAGATACAAAAATACCGTATCACTTACCAAAAAGAGTCCATTTGTCATTGTATTCAAAGTCGTCCAATAGTTCTTTCTTTACTAGCAAAAACATTAAACTACTAATCACTTATCATTACCATGAATCCATGACATACAATGATCCAAAAAACAAATATCACCTAAACTTTAACAGTCATTATTAATGTAACCACAAGTATATATTACTTACTACTAACCAAAAAAAATCTCAATGAGATTTTGCATCCAACACACTAATACATATCATTGATTTCAACAAAAACAATCAAAAAGAATTTTTAAGTATAAATAACTAAACAAACAACAACATTATACATACCTGTTTATAACTGTTGTTAATAATCATCAAACTCTAGATTTAATCTTCTCCAAAACTCCATCAATGGCAATATCAACAGCATCTTTCTTATTCATCAATCCCATTGAAGCTCCATGTCTTCTATACATAACTCTAGGCATCATCTCGATAACTCTTTCTCTCATTCTCGTAACTTCTTCTTTAGGTATACTCATCAACACATCTTGGATTCTAACTCCTCTGAATACAACATCTTCTTTCGGAATCGTCACCGAAAACTCCGCGAATTCGGACTCCGGTAAATGCCAATTGTACTGCATTTTCGCCGTTTGGTCTTCGAAAAACACCGGTATACATCCGGCGATGATTCCGTCGAATGTAGCTTTACGTGTTGGTGTATCTCCTGGTGGTTGTAAGCAAAACGATGATTGTAACATTGGTCTCATGAATCTGATCGGATCATGCTCACAGATTCCATTAGAGCAATCAACAAAATCGCAGATTTTATCCGATTTCAATTCCGATTCGGTGGCGTTTACGTTTGTGCACTCTAATCGGATGCTACGACGGATGTTCGGAGAAGAGGAGGTACCTCCACCGCCGGCGAATAGCATAAGAGAAGTTCGCCGTGAGCGACGGACACGACGGATCCACGATTCCAAAAACGGCAAGCTGTGTGGGTGAAACGACGTCGGATAAGGGACGGCTTGTTCTTGCCACGGCCAGAAACGAGATTCGAGAGTTAACGCCGTTAGATTGAAAAACTCACGGCGTTCTAGAAACGACGTGCCCCAAATCGGAGGGTCAACGGTCAACGGCTGAGAGAAATCCCAAGCGGGTCGAGCCATAACGAGGAAATGATCATGACCGGAGCGACGAGACCAGATCTCGGGTTGATCACGGGTCAAAAACTCGAGAAGATCCGACCCGTGATCAGCGCTTGAGTTTAAATCGGGTCCGTAGAGATAACGGAGAGAATCGATACCGGCGTAGTAAGGGAGATAAACGGCGGAGGCTAGATCCGGGTCGGGTGTGAGACATGGATATTCGAGAATCCGACGGTGGAAAATGAGTTCGAGAAGTAACGGGTCGGTTCGATACCAGCTTCGGGTACGGGTATGGGTTTTTGGGCCGAGTCCATGGTTGGCTAAGTAAGGGCAAAGATCGTCGGTGATTGGGTAACGATTACAAGTTGAGAGAAGATCGAGATTGAATCGTGATGGGAGTGTACGGATGTGGATCCAACGGTTAGTGCATTCTGTATCGACGGCTGAGATTTGCTGTGAAACAACCCTAGGCTCGACGAAGAAGAAGAAGAAGATGGTCAATGTTGTGACGGTGGATTTGAAAGCCATTGTTATGGAGGTTGTCGGAGTGAGAGTGGTAGTTTCTCTCTGTTTATTAATGGTAGGAAAAAGATTTGGTAATTTTAAACAGATCCTTAATTTTATACGTATATTTTAATGTTACCCTTATTGTTTATTAATAGGAAAATAGACCTCATTAAAGACAAAATTGGTGATATTCGTGGCAATAACTGAACGTTGGATCTATTTTTGGATAAAAGCATAAAGTAAAGTTTGGAGAATCTAACGGTGGTGTGCAATTTTGAACACAAAAAAGTCGGTGATCGTGTGAGTGTATCCTCACGGACGCGGGGAAGATTAATTTTCCATTTGTGTGTTCAATAATTAATTTTCCATTTCTAACAATAAGGAAACAAATTAAAAGCACACTGGGTTTAAATTGGTATGGCTCTTTTATTTCACTGAACCGAATTGAATTTACGAAGGTTATGGCTATGGTTTCCACTAATTAAACCGATTCCATTTTAAGGCCTTTTTCCTTCCGAAACAGAGAGGAAAAGATAAAACCCTTTAGAAAATAAAATACACTGATTTATCTATGAAGACGGGACTGGGCAGGAGAAGCCCATATTTAACAAAGCAAAAAAATGGAAAATTCGGAGATACACTCTCAATCGTGGTTCGGTTTATTATATAAAGGTTTTTTGTTAGAGATTTCTCCTCACTCTCAAATATTTATTTGCTGCCGTCATGGAGAAGAACCAAAACCCTAATACCTGGTCGGAGCTTCCTCTAGATCTCTTGAACTTAGTTTTCAAACGCCTCAGTTTTGCTAATTTTCGACGAGCGAAATCGGTGTGTTCGTCTTGGTACTCTGCTTCGAAACAATGCGTGCCCAAAAATCAGATCCCTTGGCTGATGCTCTTCCCCAAAGACAAAAACAGCAATTCATGCACGTTTTTCAATCCCGAGGACAAAGATTTTTTATACAAAACGCAAGATCTTGGTGTGGAATTTGCCAAGAGTGTTTGTATAGCAACCTACGGAAGTTGGCTTCTTATGCAAGATTCAAAGTATAATTTATACATTTTGAATCCATTCACCAAAGAGAGTATCGATCTTCCGGCTGTGGAATCACAACAACCTGCCATGGTAAAGGTTGAACGAACCATAGATGATGATTTTATCACTTTCGGCGATCACAACCACGTTAAGTTATTTAAAGGTAATAATACCGTACGTACCCCTGTGTTTTGGATTGACGAGAAAACCAAAGATTACATAGCTCTGTGGGGGCTTGGATATTGGTGTGTGGTTTATGCGAAGAAAGGAGATAAGTTGTGGAATCAAATTCCAGAAATTATTTTAGATTCTCTTGACATGGTTTACAAGGATCACAAGCTTTACTCATTTAGCTACAGAGAGCTTTTCACAATCTTAGATTTTTCTGGAGAGATTCCTCGACAGACCTTTCAACGTTTTATGCATGTGTATAGATTTGAGTGGTTAAGTCCTCGTAGTCGTCAACTAAGTAATTCATGGTGCCTTGCTGAGACAAAACTTGTAGTCACAGTAACCGGGGATGCCCTCTTGGTTGAAAGAATGTTAAGACCTAGGTCTAGAATCCAGTCATTCAACGTCTACAAGTTTTATTCGTCAGGGAATTTTTTTGATAAATATGAACTTGCAGATTCTTTGGGCGACGAGGCAATGCTTTTGGATCTAGGCATCACTGTGCTCGCCAATGAAGTTGAGGGACTCAATAGAAATGAAGCAGTCCGTCCTCGCTCTACATGACCGAGTCGGTCAAGCACAGTTGCGTTTAGTGAATAGGGTCTCTGCTAGGTGGGTTCAATCCAATTACGGTAAAGATGGAAGAAACGAGCAGACCGTGTTGGATACATCATCTTCGGTGGCAGTGGATGACGCAGCACTAGAAGATATGATGAAGCTTGTTAGCATCTTCGTGGATGCTAATCGTTTAAGGATGAAAGTGATCACGGGTCTTGTCAAACTTATGAACGATTCACAAGCGGCTCAATATCTTGAATCTTTATGCAAGTTTTTTCCTGGGTTTACGCTATAGGTTTTTAGTTTAGTTATTTATGATATTCCTAGGTTGATGATGTTTTCTTATTCAGAGTTCAGAGAGTATTTGTCTCAACTCTTTCGAATCTATTATAATAACGAAACCATCTGGTTATTTTCTCTACAATTGTGAACATGGATGTGTAAAACGTCAAACACAATCGTTATATTTGTCCTTTCCGTTTGCATATGACTTATAAATTTTGATATAGTATCGTACTCTTTTTTTTTTTTTCTTTTTTTTTATGCATGTACTATTTACTCTTTCATAATTTTTTTTGTTAAAATACTCTTTCATAAGTTCTATATATCAAAAATAGATTTTAAAAATCAAAATTCAATCCCGAAAACAAAACACAATAGTTTATAATCAAAACAACAAATCGAACAGTGAGCACAAAGTAGAACCGAGCACATGAGCTACGTGAATTTTGATATATAGAACTTATGAAAGAGTATTGATATATCGCCTTGATAGATATATACACCTATTTGATAAAATCAAGGCGGTTATCTAGGCTTATACATCTATAGAAAAATAAAATTTATAGGTGTATACACCTACTTGAATAATTTTGATATATCCTACCTTTTTTAATACATATATTTATTCTTTCATAAATTCTATCAATAATATGTTATATTTTGATGAGCGACATATTTAAATTCTCCAATCTAAGGACAAATGTAAGCAAATTTGGGAATACCAAAATTTATAGTATCTTAAGATTCCACTACTTACCATTTGACTTCTTTTTAAAAAAGACTTTACTAATTACCTAAATTGTATCTTTAAGATTCCACTATACTGCTATACTGTTGTTATCTCCTGAAATATTATTTCTGCCTTATTTATAACACTCTTTAATCGTTTATACACACATTTCTATTTTTTTTATGTTTTTTTTTTTCTATGTAATAATTTGTGAAGAACATCTGTGAATGATCAAATAACAGCTTGTAACAGAAGAAACTATGTCAAAACATTATGTCATGTGTAAAACAGTAAGATAGTCGTAATTATTTAAAACATTATGCCGAATTTTTAGTAACTTAATTAATACTAGTAGCAAGTAAACTTATGAATTAGTCTTCCAAAACAAATTATATGGGTATCATAATTTTGAAAATTTAAAAATTTACTGTGACTGAGAATTCATCAAATCTGCAATCATTATGATTTTCTGGTTGTTTTCATAGTCTTCGGATGATTTGCTTTTCATTATTTACACATTATAAAATCGATTCGAATTATTTTTAACATATAAAGATTTACAAATATATAACTGTACAACTTTGAATTTTTAAATTATGACATCAAAATCTTATGCTATAAAATGTATAAAACTTCTCTATACACACTTGCATATGCTTGATATTAGAAACACAACCTAAAACAGAACATACCCAAATAGGTAAAATGCATGGGATTATTACATTATTCGGATAAGGCTTTTATCTTTATCTAATAGTCTTCGGCCTACTTGCCTTGACCGAAAACCTATTATTTCCACGAATATGTTATTCAAAAGCGTCAAGAATCTTTATATCATATGACTAACAAGAACTTGTGTGCCAATATTTTTTTTTTTGTGTGTGTGTGTGTTTTTAACAATTGAATCTGAGCAACAAAGTGGGATGATAGAAATGGAAGGAGTTTAGTTCTTCTTAACCAAGCGAGTGACTATGAGGCTTGGTCGTTATAGGTTTTTTAGTTTTAATTATTTCTGATATTCCTTTGTCTACCTAGGAATAACAGAGAGTATTTGTCTCTACTCTTTTTGTAATCTATGATAATAACGAAACGATCTGATAATTTTCTCTACAATGGTAAACATCGATAATAAAAACAAAGTAAACGATGAAAGATTAACGAGAAATTGGACTGCATGGTATTCTCAGGATAACATGGATCGATTTATGCTAGGGAATTAAACAAGGAATTAGCGATGGTTTTAACGGTTTATGAACTACGAAACACTTATGTGTATCTACTTGTAATAAACCGATCACCTATGACTAAAATCTTCGTTATTCAACTAACGCAGGCACTGACGAAATTAAACAAGCATGATTAACAAGCTCGATTAAGGTTCGTAAAGTCCTACAACTCAACTAATGCATGTTGCAACACGATACTCATCCAGACTAGTTGTGATGTTCAAAACGCTTAGGATCAATCGCAAGTTAGCTATTCAAGTCGTTGGTTTACACGGGTTTAGCTTCCGAGGTTGACCCTTCTCGACTTTATGAAACTTTCAAGTCGAAGTATGCCTCGGTCACAAAGGCAAAGATCGTCTGTTATGGCGATAGTGGTAAGTCTAGGGGTTACAGGTTTGTGTCTTTTGAAGACAAAGCTGAGCAAAATAATGCTTTGAGAGAAATGTAAGGACTTTATTTGTTAAACAAGCCAATGCGGCTTGGTCCTGCTTGTGCAGAGCTGGTCCAAACATTTATAGTGTCTCAACGAAATAATAAATATCACATTTAAAAAACAAGTAGTTTTAAAATTTTCTTGTTTATTACTATATAAAAAAACCCTATTGTAACTTAATACTTATAAAAGATAAAATAGTAATACTTTTATTGTATTATTCAGTCATAATATTATTTAAAGATGTTAATAATATAAATTTAATCAAAGGATAAAGTATATATATATATTTAAGATTACAAAACTAATTAATATTTGTAAGTTTTTGTTCAAATTATTTCATACATCTGTGAAAAGTGGTGGATCCACGACTCTATAAAAGAAATACATTGTTGAAAAAACAAAGAAATCAATAAAAACATTAACCTGAAAGATAAATAATACTATATGACATGAAATGTCTAACGACTTAACGAGCACTAGAAACTTTCTATAGGTTTTTTTCTATAGGTTTTTTAGTTTAATTATCTCGGATATTCCTTGGTTGATGATGTTCATATTCAGAGTTCAGAGAGTATTTGTCTCAACTTTTTTTGAATCTATGATAATAACGAAACGATCTGATTATTTTCTCTACAATTATGAACATGGATGTGTAAATCGTCAAACACATCTTTCCGTTTGCATAATGGATAATATGGAAAAATGATAACTTAATACATATATAGTAGAAACCGTGAATAAGGCAATTAAAAAAAAAAAACTAAAAGGGTAGAAAAAATTAAAAAGCAGTGTAGAATGAAGAAGCTTCTATTCTCCTACACAATCATCAAAAACTTGTAGAGTTTTCCACCTTCCCCCATTTTGCCAAAGTCTTGAGAAACTTCTTCACCTGCAACAACAACATTACAAATCAAACTCACACATTACAAATCTACATATATAACATAACATATATGATGATTTAGTCTATATCTTATATAATTTGTACCTCGGAAGGGTCTCTAAGAGAGTAGAATGCATTACTTTCTTTTGGAACAGACGATACCAATATTCCAAATCCTCTGTTCCCTTCCCTCAGTACCTTGAATGCATCTTCATCAGTCTTGTCATCTCCAATGAAGATTGGGAGGAACTCATCGTTGTTGCTTAATCCAAGAGACTCTAACAGAAACTCGACTGCTTTTCCTTTGTTCCACTCGATCACAGGACGAACTTCTAAAACCTGATCATATCAACAAAACTATGTTAAGGGATTTGGATCTAATATGAGAAACCAGAGTGATGTTTGTTCATCAAGTAAAGTACCTTTCTTCCGTGAGTTAGACGCAGACGAGGGTATTTTTTCAGGTGGTCATGAACGCGTTGAGCAACGAGTGGCCAGTCCTTCTCATCAACATTACGGTAATGTACAGAGGTGCAGAACTTGTGGTTCTCCACTTTTGCACCTTTGATACATTTAGTTATCTCAACGAGGCTACTATAAACCTCTTCGATGACGGGTATGAACTCTTTAGCAGGCTGAAAGAGGTTTACCTCCTCACCCTATTCAGAAAGAAAAGATTAGAATTTACAAGAGTTGAGTTGATTTATATATATGTTCAAGGAAAATGAGGTAATGATTTCACCTGTTGGTCAGTGGATTTTATACAATTGGGGTCTTCAGGGGACCCATGTGGATTTACAGGAGTCATTATGTCCATCCCGTGACTACCCGCGTAGTAGAGTTCGGTTAGTCCTACCAATTGGTATACCTGCATTAACAAACTCAAAGTGTATTAGTGTTTTGAGTATTGTTTGGATTGTGCTGATACAATTAATGTTATGGTTAATGGTTCAAAAGTTTCACCTTGTCACGGCTTCTACCACTAATTATTGCTGTTGGGAAGTACTTGGCGACATCTTTCACAGCAGCACGCATCTAAGAGAGATAGAGAGGGCAAACTTAGCCTTTTGTGTTTTAGACCAAAGAAAAAATATGAACAAAAAGGGGTTTTAGTTCTTACCGCATCAGACATGATGGCGCGATCAGGGTCATCAACGATTGGGGAAAGTGTTCCATCATAATCTAGAAACACAGCTATCTTCTTGTTCTTTGCTTGAGCTGCAATATGCGAAAACGAGGTAATCGCCGAAGGATACTTGAGCTGTCAAGATAAAAGAAAGAAAATGGTGAGGACTAAGAAAACAACAGAGAGATCAAAACATTTGTGAATGAAACCATGATATATTACTAACTAACCATCCATGCCCGTTGAGCAAAATCATCTTCAGGAGCAATCTCAATGTTGAAATCCTTGACAAGCCTTTTACGCGGTGGAGACGAGGATATCATCGCATCCAACCAACCGTTAGATCTAACATCATCGAGTTTAGGAATCTTCTTCCTAGAATTCATCATGAATCTCCCTGAAGGGAAGGATGATCCAAGTCTTGATTTGTTGACTGGTGTAGTAGGGTCACTAAGAACAGGGGACGTCTTGTTTATATTCAAATCCATCGAACTCTCCAAACAAAAATGCTTCAAACAAGAAATTCGATGGCTTCTTCTAAACAAACTTTGTTTTTTTATCCAACTCTTTTGTCAATGAAAAACCACCTCTTTAGTGTTTTCTTATCACTGCTTGTTGTTGAACTGTCCATTAAAAGTAGGTTTCCTGAAAACTGAAATTGACCACAAAACAGAACACTCAGCAAAATTGAAAAAGCAATACTAAATGTATGTATCATGAAAACTTAAAAGTGACAACAAAACCGAAAGCTGTTTACATTACCTTATCATCTCTAAATCTTCGATTGTTCAAAGCTTTTACCACACAAAAAACGTTATCAGACAGATCTCGAGCTT